ATCCACTTGGGTTCTTGGGTTCTCCTGTTGCTACTCCTCTTTGACCTAATCCTGCATGACCTACTAAATCCCCACTGAATACATATTCATTAAAGGTAGAAGACCTGTGGGTGGTTTGGGATAGAATGGGTATAATGAGCTTCCAAACTAATGTAATCTGATGAATGACTACTTTCCTTAGTGAGAATTTGAGAGGAGAGGGATTCCACTGAAATCTATTGACAGGTCAATGGATGTGACTGCAGCCATGTACACTCTCCTTGGGCCCAGTGATTCAGACTGTGAAGGGCTCTCACTTGCTATATGATTCTCATTCATCATTCTTATTCATCTCCTGGCAGCAACTGTAGGCTACCCACTGACTCTTTAGGGTTATCTGCAGAAGAGAAATGACATTTTATCTGCCAAGCAGCACGTGTGCATTCATCAGTTCTAACCTCTAAGAGAGTCTAACCTCTAAGAAAGTCTATCCTCGTGGATGTAAACCTCATAGATATAAGCTGAATAGTCCAAAACGTCAAAGAAATGAATAGCAGAAAAATAACAAGACCTCATATATAAGTCAAGGACCAGAGCATTTGATGGCAACTGAATGTTAAAGAATTGCAAGACCAGGCTTCACTTCTCTTGCAGCTTCATTTTCTGCCAGTCCCTAACTCATAATGCTTTATGAATAACCAAATGCTTCCAGTGCCTAGAAATACCATGCCTTCCATTCCTTTCCTGCTACCTTCATCTGGAGGGCCCTTTAGACCTGGCTGTGCCTGGACAACTTCTATTCATCCTTTAACAATCAGCACAGGCTTCACTTGCTCCCCTGGGCAGGAGGACAGTCTGCATGACATGCCACTCCTCTGAGCTCCCCATGTACCCTGTTTTAACCTCCACTGTGTCACATGAGACCAGCTCTGTCCAATAGAAATATAACAGGAGCCACAGGATGCAGTTGGGGAGGCTGAGGCGGGCAGATCATTTGAGGTCAGGATTTCAAGACCAACCTGACCAACACGGTGAAACCCCATCTCTACCAAAAAAAAAAAAAAACCATTACCCAGGCATGGTGGTAGATGCCTGTAGTCCCAGCTACTCAGGAGGCTGAGGCAGCAGAATCACTTAAACACAGGGGGTGGAGGATGCAGTGAGCCACGATCCGGCCACAGCACATCATCTTGAGTGACAGTGAAACTCCATTTCAAAAAGAAAAAAAAAAAGAAAAGAAAAGAAAAAAGAAAAAGAAAGAAAGAAAAGAAAAAGAAATATAGCAGGAGCCCCATAAATGTAAAATATCTAGTAGCCACATTTAAAAACAATCAAAAGAAACAGGTGAAATTAATTTTAATTATATATTTTAACTTGATATCTAACTGATCATTTGACAGGTAATCAACGCCATGTTCAAATGATTAGATACTTTATTTTATCATACTAACTTGTTAAAATCTAATGTGTGTTTTACACAAAGAGCACATCTCAATTCAGACTAACCACATTCTCAGTGCTCAGTAGCCACATGTGGCTGCTGGTGACTATGTTGGACAGTAGAACCTTATACTGGAATAATTGACTTCTGAGTTTGCCTTTCCTTCTGGAAAATATGCTGCATAAGGACTAGTCAATGTTATATGTGTGATATCATCGGTGTATCTTCAGTGCCTTACATATACGGAGTGCTCATGAAATGCTTGCTGAACTGAACTGACCGGAATATAGTTAGAGAGAAGAGAGGATTTTAGCAGCTGTTCAAATCAAGTGCCGCTTATGCATCCTTACAATAATTATGATGACAGAAATGATAGCTAATACTTTTTCTTGAATGATGTTCTATAGTTTTAAAATATATTATCTCGTTTAGCCCTCACAATGACCCTATATGCCACATACCATTGTCATATCCATTTTATGAAAGAAGAAATTTCCTCCAAATCATACTGCTACTAAAGTGGAAGAGCCAGAATTTATTGAAATAAAGAAAAACAAAGTAAATAACATTAATTACATGCACACTCACCCACCACAATAAACAAAAAGTTGAAAATAAGCTATCTTCACATAAATTTAAAAGCCCCGGCCAGGCGTGGTGGCTCAGGCCTATAATCACAGCACTTTGGGAGGCCAAGGTGGGTGGATCACGAGGTCAGGAGTTCGAAACCAGCCTGGCCAACATGGTGAAACCCTGTCTCTACTAAAGATACAAAAAGTTAGCTGGGCACCTGTAATCGCAGCTGCTTGGGAAGCTGAGGCAGGAGAACTGCTTGAACCCGGGAGGGGGAGGTTGCAGTGAGCTGAGATCACGCCACTGCACTCCAACCTGGG